GCTTCCTCGAATCGAGAACAGCTTCTATCTCAGATCAACCGCGTGCGGGAAACCATCGATCGAGTACTAAACAAGGATACCACATTGGCTGAAAGGATCAGAATATTGTTCCGAGAGCAAGGTATCACCATTGCCAGCGTTCTTACAGCATTTGGCTTCATCATATCGACCTTGGTCATATTGCTGACTGGTGGTGGAGGAACACCAACACCACCAAAACCACCGAGTGGTGGTGACATCAGAGACTGGATAAAAAAACATCTGAAATCACTAGGGGAAGCCCTGGCTCAACTTGCCGGTAAAGCCGCCGAAGCCCTGCCAGGTATCCTGGGTAGCATCGTCTCGTGGTTGCTTAGCACTCTCTCGAAAACAGTCACTTGGCTCAGTCAAAACCTGTGGGCGTTCATCATCACCGTTGCCGGGTTGGTGTACGTGGCTGCTAAGGAATTTTTAACCAGATGAAACCCAAGCCAACCGCGATCCCAACAACCACCAGCGCTGTTTTACGTTTGATGTGCTGCTGATAAAACACCTGCACGTGTGGTTGTTGGGGTTGTGGTGGTGTGGACTGAACCCTAGACTCTGGGGGTGATGCCACTATACCAGTTTCACCAGTATGCGTGGGTGGTGGTACATGGGAGACGTTGACGTCGGCGTTAACACCCAATTTTTGGTCGGCTGTGGCGATGATTATTTCATTGTTGTAGCCTGTTATTTTATTGATTCTCAGACGCATATCACTCAGAGCCATGTACAATCCAACACCGAACACGTTGTCGACTTTTGACCTGGCGTATTGCAACGTATCCTGATATCGTTTTATAGCACTAGGTAAATCTACTGGTGATGCGATAGCGTCCTCAATTTTAGCCACGAACTGTTTTTGAGAATCGTAAGCCGTTCCCTTACCTATAATATGAGAATGCGTCTGTGATTGAGACCCTAGAATAGCCCACACGTACGTTCGAATCGAATCATTCTATCTGATAACACCAGCACGAGTTAAACCCTTCGACGTGTCCAGCATAAATATTTTCCAGTCATCCCGGACCCTGCTCGAACCTCCATACTCTGTATCGGTTCGCAATTGCGCAGATCGATGCTCATGCTGTTGATCACTGGATTGTCTGGTCCAGACTCGATTATTTACAGACCGCCGCCATATAGCTGGAATATTGCTGAGTGCGGCGTAAAACTAAACTCACTCACTCACTCCATACTCTGTAATCCTTGCTGTGGTCGAAAGACATGAGATCATCTCTCCACTCGTTACTCCTGACGTAAGCATTCGCATATGTTTTACCACCCCATTCTTTAAGCTTTTTTGCTGGCTTCCACGAGGGGCATGTTGTGAACGATAGGGATACCCAACCCATGGTTTGGGCCCGTCAAACGCCAATCCGTCTTTGGATCTAGTTCGAATTCATTACAAATACGTTCATACGCACGTCGATCGTACGTATTGTTTACTGCATCCCATGCCTTGTCCTGTGGGACTGGGGCGCTGATTTCTTTGGGGATACGCCTTACCTGGTAATACACGTGAAAAGTGAAAACGTATTTACTTAGCTCATTATGCCTAGAATCTGTCAATGTCAAACCACATCCAGTTGTCGCACACTACACGGCAAAATTGAATTGATTCTGCCAGAACTGCATAGGGTTGTGAAACCAACCGTGAACCGTTTTAACATTAGTGACCGAAAACCTATAATTTTTAAACACGTCTATAAACTGGGTTTTGAAGTAAGAACCAGCCGTGTCAACCACTATTTTCATGTGTGTGAAGTCATAAGCCTTTATGTTGTCGTTTTTTGGGTAACGTACTTCGGGTTTATACATATTATTATATAATATATAAATATATATAAATATTAAATTCCGCTTCCGGGTGTAACGAGTAGTGAGGCCGTTCAACTTATGCACGGTATTGATAACACGTCTGGTCAACTCGAAATAGCACTATGTGGTAATATTTACTACCCGCGATGGACAAACATCAACAGCAATAATAATAATGTGTTCTATAGTGGATTCCTACGTAAAATAACAGATGGATACTACAGCGTCTCTTCTCTCAATGATGAAGTTTTCAAACCCTTAGGAGCTGAACTCAAAATAAATGACTCAAACGGAACAGTGGTGTTGATTAACAACAGTCCAAACAAATTGAGACTCGGTCGACCGTTGGCGAAGATACCAGGGCTGCCACCTGAAGAAATAAACCCTAAGATTACCGTCACTGGTACGAAGTTACCAGAGCTAGTTCCATACCGCGAGCTATGCGTTCATCTCGATCAGCTTAGCACAACAGATAATGTACAAAGTGAACGTCCTTCCACGTTGTTGAGGGCTGTCCCGGTTAAAACAGAAAAATACAATGACGGACGCACCGAGTCGTTTTCATCGCGACAGTATAAAAAAATGATAAATGGTAATATTTCTGAATTAAAAATATCAATTTTAGATACAAAAAATAATAATATAAATATAGGATACCTCAGCGTAACACTACATATACATATATGGCTGGCAATCAATGCCCAGGAATGCGAGTAAAAAGATGCAGTAATGTAGGATTATCAAACCTAGGTGATACTAGGGGGTTTGATGACTCAGGAATAGATGGTAAAATTTACGCTTTAAAGCTTGTAAACAGCATTTACAAACGAGTTGAAGTTCCCGTCGTCGGTGGATCTGGTAGTGCTTTTAACCTAGATACATCAAGATCTGTCAGCAACACTCGATACGATATAGTTCACAACGACGAGGATGAATGGAGAATATACCCATCGTTCAGTGGTAAATTGTTCGATTTAGAAGACTTTGACAGAACGAACGATGATCAAAACAAACCTTACTATCTAATGCTCACTAACGATAACAAGTGGATGATGTTACCATCTCGAATCAGCTGGTTTCTCAACATCACACTAAGTTCCCCATACGTATTCACGGAAAACAAAGACCACTTACTAAACAAAGTCGTTAACAACGGAACCCTAATCGTGGCTTACGTCCCATCAGAGAGACGCAGTGTAATCATCAGCCCACGCTCGACTATGTCAGCCCACATGCTATCGGTTAAACCAGGGGAGAAAAACGCCGTATTGAAGTTGGTGTATGAATTCGACGGCGTGCTCAACATCTTGCAAAATCTACCGGAGAATTCCACGCTGTTCATCCAAGTCTACCTAGGCCAACCAACGCAGAGTGAGATTGAGATCGTGAAGGGAATCAAACTCCAGTGGGCTAAAAAACACCAGTATCGCGTTTGCTCTATTTACGTGCGGGTGGGAGACGATTCACATACCAGTCTGCAGGGTGTCACCGTTAACGTGGAAGACACTATATCTCTAGCCGGTATTTTTCTATCCGAGAACATGCATTTTATGGAATTGAAGTTAACACCTGAGAAATTATCAGAAAAACAATTGGAAACTATTTTATAACAGTTATATAAACAATGGTAAGTCATCACCCCAATGTAGCTCTGGGTGATCTAGGAGACACAAAACGGTTCAAATCACCTGGTGAGGAAGACACGCCGTACCTACTATACTATAAAGACGACGTATATGAACGAATGCCACTAGCAGATTTTTCAGAGCTTGAATGGTTAATTAAAATAACACTAACCTCACCTTACATCTTTTTTAATCAAAATGATTTCGTTTCCAAAATTACAAACAACGGGATTCTGCTTACGTCCTTTAATCCCTTTAAAGAAAATACTGTTCAAGTATTACGAATACCAGGGCATACTGGTGACATGTTAGCTCCAGTCGGCTTGAATGCCAGTTTATTCATTTGCAGCATTTACGATTACCAACGTGATGTTTTTTCAGATTCAAATTATGGTATGAAGCACACACCACGCTAGTTATAGACGTATATCTCGCAGAGATGTCCAGTCCAAGAATACTTTTAGACGGCCTGAGAATAATTTGGCTTAAAAGACACGAGAATAAACGTTGCCGAATCATAATAAACCATTAATAAGCCTAGATGGGGTTAGTATTTTAGACCAAAACATACCTATTAATGTCTCACCCATTTACCTGTACAATAATCTAAACCTTATAAGCCTCAACTATGTTAATCAAATATTAAATGACATATAATTAAAAAATAATTTATAAAATATATTATAAACACATAAAATGGGGCTATACCCAGCCATAGATGAAGAAGGAAGTATAAAGGGAAGTGTAGAAGGGTTTCGACTTAAACAGATATGTGAAATAAAACGTCAGCTAGAACAAGACCGTGATATTCGGGCATCGCTACACAAAAAAATACAATAGATCTTTAACTTACCTGGATGGGGCTGATACCACTCTTATGACAACTAGCATGGGATTAGGAGCAGTAGGAGTTGGATTGTTGACCCCAATCGTAGCCTCACCAGTGGTGTTAGGCCTTGAAATAACAGCTGTAGTGACAGGAATAGCTGGGTCAGTGTTTAAATTTGTATCTCGCAAATTGAATCGTAAAGCTAAGAAACATGATGAAATTAGAATTCTTGCTGAAGCAAAGTTAAACACGATAGAAGACCATATTTCCACCGCTCTCAATGATAATAAAATCTCAGAGGAAGAGTTTCGTTTGATCCTATGTGCACTCGAAAAATATAGAAAAAATGAAAGAAGAGATTCGATTAAAGTTTCATTAAAAAAGTTCTGCTATCGGCGAGAACGAGATTTTTTTTACATAAACCAAGGGATACAACAAGCCCAACAAGCATTTATTACGAAAACCAAAGACATCATAGAAAATACACATTAAATTGTTTTGCTGAAGTCAATATTTTAAATTGATGTGATCTTATGGGTTTACAAATTGAGGAATAGATACTTATTGATTATTTGCCTTATATAGGATGACCCCATACTCCATAGTCTTACTCTTTCGAGTAAGACTATGGTTACTTTTTATCTCCCTTAAAAGTAGCCATAGTCTTACTCTTTCGAGTAAGACTATGGATACTTTTTACAGGGGAGATAAATAGTATTTGTGTATGGGTTTATGGTCCCGTACCACATAGTCTTTCGGGTAAGACTATGGCTACTTTTTTACAGGGGAGATGAAAAGTAGTTGTGTTATGGATTTAAAAATTAATATGAGTTAGGAATAGATACTTATTGATTCCTTGCCTTATATAGGCTGATCCCGTAACCGCATTGTTTATACCACTGTTCAGTTCACTGGTCTAGTCTTTGTTATGTTCACTGTTCCAATCATTGTTAATTCACTGTTAAGTCATTGTTTTGTTCTCTTCATTGTTCTGTTCTCTTCATTGTTCTGTTCTCTTCATTGTTCTGTTCACTGCTCAGTTCACTGTTCCAGTCATTGTTAATTCACTGTTAAGTCATTGTTCTGTTCTCCTTATTGTTCTGTTCTCTTTATTGTTCTGTTCACTGCTCAGTTCACTGTTCCATTCATTGTTATGTTCACTGCTCAGTTCACTGTTCCATTCATTGTTAAGTTCACTGTTCAGTTCACTGTTAAGTCATTGTTCTGTTCTCTTCATTGTTCTGTTCTCTTTATTGGTCTGTTCTCTTCATTGTTCTGTTCACTGTTCAGTTCACACGAGGATTCTGATCAAAGACACCTGTGACGTAAAGTTAATCACCATCTTCTGTGATGTTGTATAACCACCTGCAACTTCTTTGGTAAATGCCTGTAACAAATAGCATCGTTATTAAGATAGTAAGTAATAATATCTTGCCTTGGGCATTGCTGGGTAGACTTATAATGAGCAAAAAACCGTCGGTCTCGGATCCTTGTTTAATCAAGTTTATTACAAACATGTTCTGAATATCGTTGTGAGAATATTTGGGTATTTGAAACAGGGGTTGTGTAGACAGTTGATAGTTATCTAACGAGTGTTGTGTAATCAAACTAGGCTATTCAACGATAGTGACGTCATAATGCCAAACTTTCCGTTACCGCTTCCATATTTTGAATGAACATCATAACTCCATTCAAGCACCTTTTGACCCAAAATGACAACCAAGCAAAACCTTTAGGTTTGAAAATAAATAAAATTCAGTTCACATCACCCACTGGTTTGTCTGGGTTTGATTCTATTGTATACTGCCCACAGAGGAACAAAATTACCAAATATAACAAAAAACCTTGTTCGTTACCGATGTTATGTGCTTCCTGATATTGTGAAATTATCAAGTGAAATTTCATCAAGTGTTTTTTCTCATTATCCATCCAGTTCTACCACGATAACAGTACCCAGTCAGTGAATCAAAATAGAAACTTCAGCAAAACACCCCGAACTGCTCCGTCAGTGAAAGAGAACTTACCAGTCGTAGTTCCCACATAAAGCCCTATGACAAGATCCTTGTTGTTAATTGTCGTATAAACCAGTCTCTCAGCTATATGGAAGCTGTCTTTGAATAATGACTCTGCAACAGGACCCGTTTCACAAAACGTTCCTAGCGCTACGACATTCTTAAGCCTGTGATAATCTATAGAGTTACGACAGGTCGAAACGTTACGAACGCTTTGTGGATCGGGAACCAGGACCCAGCGTTCATAGCACTACGACATTCGTAAGCCTATGATAATCTATAGAGTTACGACAGGTCGTAATATTACGAACGCTTTGTGGACCCACGCCCCGTTTCACAAAGCGTTCATACTACATTCGTAAGCCTGTGATAATCAATAGAGTAACGAATGCTTTTTGGATCGTGACCCAGGACCCGTTTGATAAAATGATGTTAAACAAACACCAATTCATAACGTAGATTTATGGTCATCATAAAAACTGGAGCCTCTCTGGGGTCCAAACCTGTCAGTGATGGATAGTAAGAGCAACGGTCTATGCTTTCTAGTCAGAGCTTCGAATTAAGAGAACAATTAGAAATGTCACTAAGCGTTTGTTCCCATTGGTCATTCAGTTCTACCAGAACAACAGTACCAAACTGTACCATATCCTATATCAGACATTATGTTTCATCAGTCTTAACAATTATTGTAGTCCCTTCATGGCAGATAAACCTTTCCTTGAATAGATTCCTGGTCAGATCTTCGCATGAAGAGATTGCTGAACAATTAGCACACTTTACCTGCATCTATAGAGAGGCCGGGGCGAGAAGACTCTGATGAGAAACTCCCTGTTGATACCGGGATGAACAAGGGACGGCAGCACAACATATCGCCCGGGGGTGAGGCTGAAGCGGAAGGTGTACTGATGCGCGGGGTAGTAGTACTCCTTCATTTCAGTATTACAGGGCATCCTTTCTATGAAGATGTGGCTCTCAGTCTCGGAACCTTTTATTACCTATAACGTAACATACAAAGTAGTAACAAAAATACTGGAATATTGCTAAAAGCGGCGTAAAACTAAACTCAGTCAGTCAGTCAGTAACAAAAATACAACGTACACTTAAAGTACATAAAATAGGAAACACCTTCAGAGGTAAAGTTTCACGAGACTCAAGAACTGAAAAAGGAAATTGACCCAACAACAGGTAAGGTAGTCTAAGGTGCCCTTTCGCTGGGACAAATCTGTCAGCACCATATCTTAACTCTTGGGTTTAATGTACGTCGTCAATGTCTGGGATCTCGAAAGATCTGGGATCTGATCCAGAAATCATTCGTAACGTTACGACCTGTCGTAAGTCTATAGTTGACCATAGGCTTACGAATACCGTAGCACTACGAACGCTTTGTGAAAGTGAAGTAATGCAGGTTCCTGATCCACAAAGCGTTCGTAACGCTACGACATACGTAATCTTATGGTAAACTATAGAGTTACGACAGGTCGTAGAGCTACGAACGCTTTGAGGATCGGGACCCTGGATCACCTCGGGCTTTCACCATACTGATAAAAATTAACTGGCTCTACATCAGTCACGTTGGTCTCAAGAAGAATGTGAATAGCTCGAAGTTAGTCAACCCAATTTTTTTTAACCTGTCTCGTTCTTATCTACCTCAGTTATACATGGAGATTCCAAATGGAAAGCTATAGTAAATTTGAATCAGTGGCGGTGGGGTAGCCCAGTGGTTAAAGCGTTCGGTCGTCACGCCGAAGATCCGGGTTCAATTCCCCACATGGGTACAATGTGTGAACCCCATTTCTGGTGTTCCCCGCCGTGGTATTGCTGGAATATTGCTAAAAGTGGCGTAAAACAATACTCACACATGTCATTAGGTAATGGAATATTGCTGAGTACAGAGTTAACATACAAGTCGTTGGTGACAGATGCAGGACACATTTACCCGTTTCAAGAACACCAAGGATCCCCACATGGGTACACTGTGTTACGCTCAGTTGTAGTTTCCTCGACGTGACATTGCTGGAATATTGCTGAAACCATTCACACTCACTCACTCACCTTAAATAAGTCGACCCGCATGTGATAAATCCTCTCGCCACTGTCAGCATTCTGGACGACGTGTATCACAACGGGTATGTGACCTCCTGGAAAACCAGTGTCAATTTGAAAACAAATGTATCGTTCCACTCTGACCGGATATTCAAATGACTGCTTACATTAAAAGTTCACCCAGATAACCATTCACTGAAAACGAGTGAGTGAGTGAGTGAATTTAGTTTTACGCCGCTTCTAGCAATATAACAGAACCGGGTCTTCGGCGTGACGAGCGAACGCTTTAACCACTAGTCTACCCCACCGCCCCTACTGAAAACGATGAAAACATTGCTTCCGTTACATTCAGGGTTGACTGGTGAGTAATCGATTAAAATTCAAGGCCGCTTTCAACTTTATCTAAGTTACATGACAGCGTGTCTGGTTAAAGTGGGAGGGAATCCCGAAGTGAGTGGTGAAGTACTCAGACGCTGAATGCAGTTGTGAGAAGCCCAGATGAAACCTATTGTGTTAACAAGACAGAGTTAACCTCATGGTTTCGCCATCTCTGCGCAACGAACCCAAAACCTTGATTTTATGCACAGAATATATATCCTTAGATACTTTTCTAAAAGATCAAAAGCGCCCACAGTAATTTCTTAAGCGATAAAGTATACTTTTTGCATGACGTCACACTACATTGACGTCACTCCGCCATTCTCGTCTTCCCCCTCATTATCAAACGTATAGTATGACCAGAAATTATTGAGAATTTTAAGTACAGTCCGAAAGTTAACGGGGTGGTGTGTGTGTGTGTATGTGTATGTGTGTGTGTCATATCTGTGTTATCTGTGTATTTGAAGGGAATATGAACAGTGAGCGGTACACAGAAATTCTCGAGGGACATTTACTCCATCTGCTCACGTGTTCAATGGAAATGTTTGGATTTTCCAGCAGGACAACGACCCAAAACATCTTTCAAAGCATTCACAGGCCTGGTTTCGGACCCAAAGTATGACATTGGCCAAGCTATAGCCCTGACCTAAATCCAATACAAAATGTTTTGGGACTTATGAAGGAAAGTGTCAATAAGAAAAATCTGACAAATATTGCTGAAATGAAAGAAGAGGTGGTCCGATATTGGGACAGCATGGACCACGACTTTCTAATTTCTTTGATCGGTAGTATGCCCCGCCGCATTGAAGCCTGCATGTGATATCAATAAGAGGTTGATGTGATATCAATAAGAGATTGATGTGATATTAATAAGACTGACTGACTGAGTATTGTTTTACGCCGTTTTTGCAATATTCCAGCAATATCACGGCGGGGAGCACCAGCAATGGGCTATACAAGTTGTACCCATGTGGGATATTAATAAGAGGTTGATGTGATATCAATAAGAGGATGATGTGATATTAATAAGAGGTTGATTTGATATCAATAAGAGGTTGATGTGATATCAATAAGAGATTGATGTGATACCAATAAGAGGTTGATGTGATATCAATAAGAGATTGATGTGATACCAATAAGAGGTTGGTGTGATGTCAAATAATTTCAATATCACATTGGTGATCCCTGGTGTTCATAAAAACGGTTCAACATGTCCTGCATCTGTCACCAACGATTTGTTTGTTAACTCCGTACTCAGTAATATTCCAGTACATAACGACTGTTTGCATACAACGAAGTGACTGATATCATGGTATCAATTGCGATTCGATGACATGTGAGTGAGTGAGTATGGTTTTACGCCGCTTTTAGCAATATTCCAGCAATATCTCGGCGAGGAACACCAGAAATGGGCTTCACACATTGTACCCATGTGGGGAATCGAACCCGGGTCTTCGGCGTGATGCTTTAACCACTAGGCTCCCGCACGACATGCAAAGAAGCACTTGACCGATGCTGGCAAACCGATTAATGTAGTAGCGTCTTACGACAAGTCTAGGCAGCTGGGGATCTGTATTACAACCTGCAATCCCAGTCGTGATGGTGTGTTATCCATAATGGGAGCGCAGGACAGTTCAAGCACACACTCGTCACACAGAAAGGAGGTAGCCTTGTAGTTAAAGCGTCCGCTCTTCACGCTGAAGATCCGGGTTCAATTCTCCACATGAGTACAATGTGTGAAGCCCAATTCTGGTGTCCCCCGACGTGATATCGCTGGAACATTGCTAAAACTAAACTAAAAAAAATGACACCGTCTGATATTCGTACAAGCTGCATAGGGTACTCACTCATACAGAAAACATTCAACTACAGCGGATGCCAGTAAATATTCTTTGTGAAGTATTTACCTTCTGCAGGAAGTGTGAACGCCATTTTAGGATTTCCTAGTCTCTCCGTCAAATCTCGTCCTTGACCCACAGAGGTCCTTCCTCGCCACTCTCCGAATATCTTCAGCACGTAATCTATCGAACAGAAGTCAAGTGCTACTTTGGCCATGATTCGATATATCTAAACATTAGTCCATGTTGTATGTGGGTGTAGAACTGCAGGTGGTGGTTCTTCTTTGCAAATGTATCATGTTCGTATCTCAGTTGTAGGATTTAATGTATGACTTCTTGGCCAACATAGACGAAGACATAGGTACGACAAGTCCGCTTTGCGTAATGTTCAAATGTAGACTGATAGTGTGTTGACCAAATAAATCATTCCTACGAAATAAAACGGAATTCCAAATACCAAGAGGTGAGGTACTATAGACTTGCTCAACCATTGTAGATGTGCGTTGGACTGGATTTCAGGGTCAGGCAAGTTAACGGGCGGTCACAGCGATACAACAACATCGGAGCAGGACATGAACGATCTCACAACTCTTTCGTACTTCAGAAATGATAAGACGATATCCTAATGCAACCATATCAGTATTGAAAGAATAAAGTAGCTTAGATATTCATACAAACGTTTACAAACGCACGTTAACATGCATATATACATGTGCACACACATACACACACGCATACATACATACACACGCATGTACATACATACATATTAGAGCATGAAGTGTTTTTATCAAGAATGTGACAACAACATCGGTACCTTGACAGAAAAACACATCAGAGTCAATCGATAATATCATAAGGTAAAACAGGTTAACCGGTGTTTGTCTTGGTTGTGAAGGAATCATATTGATGGAGATAGCAGAGATAGACGTTGTCAGTATATACACCGAGGTTGCCCTGGTATCTCAAATACAATTATCTATATTTTAAACTTATTTAACAAAACAAAATGTAAAAAGCATTACCATTCAGGAATGTCCTGAAGTTGCACAACAGCATGTTGATAATAAGCATATGGATACATGTTATGGATAACAACTTCTTGCTTATTGTGTAGAGCGTCGTTTCGATGTAGCTTCTTACACCGGTTTCAAGCACAAACATGCAAAGCTTGAAAACGAAATAAGAAAATGTACCGAAACGTTGCAACACACAAAAGTTTGCTATCCATTAAGTTGTATACTTTATTACTGACTCACGAACTTCTAGTTGGTTCGTTTGTTTAACGAACCCGTGAAGATCCGAGTTACAGTTGATCTTCAGTAACCCATGCTTGTCGTAAGAGGCGTCTAGCGGGATCGGGTGCTCAGGTTCGCTGACTTGGTTGACACATGTCATCGTATCCCAATTGCGTAGATCGATGCTCCTGCTGTTGATCACTGGATTGTCTGGTCCAGACTCGATTATATACAGACCTCCGCCATATCGCTGGAATATTGCTGAGTGCAGTATAAAAAATAAACCCACTGTTGTTTAACGCCGCACTCAGCAATACCCCGGCTATATGGCGGCAACAACTTCTAGAATGCTGATGAAACAATTAAAATGTTTATACTCACTTAATGGGTCGGATCGGCCGTCTATGTCAAAGTCCGGGGTCAGGGAACAGATTGTTGTCTGATCAAAGTATCTGATGAAATCATCCATATTCATCCAGAACTCGCCATCTTCATTGTCATGGTGAAGGTTGCTGCCCATCTGGAGGGTCGACCACTCATCACTCCTAGAAATAATGGTTTCAACATCCTTTTTCTATGTCCACAAACACCCACGTATTTAGTTCATTTATCTACTGACCCGTGAAGATCCGGGTTAGAAGTTGTCTTCAGCATCCCATGCTTGTCGTAAGAGTCTGACTTGGTACACACATGTCATCGTATCCAACCTGAGTAGATCGATGCTCATGATGTTGATCACTGGATTGTCTTGTCCAGACCCGATTTATTTACAGACCGCCGCCATGTAGCTGGAATATTGCTGAGTGTGGCGGTAAACAAAAAACAAATGAATTATCTCAGTTTACTGAGTTTACCATGCACTTAATATATATATATATATACAGAGATAGACGTTGTCAGTATATACACCGAGGTTGCCCTGGTATCTCAAATACAATTATCTATATTTTAAACTTATTTAACAAAACAAAATGTAAAAAGCATTACCATTCAGGAATGTCCTGAAGTTGCACAACAGCATGTTGATAATAAGCATATGGATACATGTTATGGATAACAACTTCTTGCTTATTGTGTAGAGCGTCGTTTCGATGTAGCTTCTTACACCGGGTTCAAGCACAAACATGCAAAGCTTGAAAACGAAATAAGAAAATGTACCGAAACGTTGCAACACACAAAAGTTTGCTATCCATTAAGTTGTATACTTTATTACTGACTCACGAACTTCTAGTTGGTTCGTTTGTTTAACGAACCCGTGAAGATCCGAGTTACAGTTGATCTTCAGTAACCCATGCTTGTCGTAAGAGGCGTCTAGCGGGATCGGGTGCTCAGGTTCGCTGACTTGGTTGACACATGTCATCGTATCCCAATTGCGTAGATCGATCTGCTGTTGATCACTGGATTGTCTGGTCCAGACTCGATTATATACAGACCTCCGCCATATCGCTGGAATATTGCTGAGTGCAGTATAAAAATAAACCCACTGTTGTTTAACGCCGCACTCAGCAATACCCCGGCTATATGGCGGCAACAACTTCTAGAATGCTGATGAAACAATTAAAATGTTTATACTCACTTAATGGGTCGGATCGGCCGTCTATGTCAAAGTCCGGGGTCAGGGAACAGATTGTTGTCTGATCAAAGTATCTGATGAAATCATCCATATTCATCCAGAACTCGCCATCTTCATTGTCATGGTGAAGGTTGTTGCCCATCTGGAGGGTCGACCACTCATCACTCCTAGAAATAATGGTTTCAACATCCTTTTTCTATGTCCACATACACCCACGTATTTAGTTCACTTATCTACTGACCCGTGAAGATCCGGGTTAGAAGTTGTCTTCAGCACCCCATGCTTGTCGTAAGAGTCTGACTTGGTACACACATGTCATCGTATCCAACCTGAGTAGATCGATGCTCATGATGTTGATCACTGGATTGTCTTGTCCAGACCCGATTTATTTACAGACCGCCGCCATGTAGCTGGAATATTGCTGAGTGTGGCGGTAAACAAAAAACAAATGAATTATCTCAGTTTACTGAGTTTACCATGCACTTAAAATTATAATAATAGGCATCTACTGACATTCAGTTTACAAACTGTGACTACAATCAGTAACATCTCACGACGCATAAAAGGGTGCACATTATGGTAATTGGTATCATCCTGCATCAACCAACAAAATAATCCATCTCGGTATTTCAGTATCAACTGCATCAGAAATGGGATTCTTCATCAAAGTACTATTTAGTTTCGTTCTATGTAACATGCGCGACTTGACCCCTTCAATAACGTTTTGTTTCATCAGAATCAAGTGAATGGTAACTATGTAATAATTTTAGCAGAGGTTTCCCGTTGTTTCATTATTATTTTCCCAAAAAATTCAAAAATTTTCGTTACTCATTAATATTATGGTTATTACGTTTTTTCCTTGTTATTTTCGTAATTTAGGTCGTTCAAGTTCTCTCAAATACTCGAAATTTCTCGTTACTTCTGTTTATCCCCTGTTGTTTGAAATATTTCAGTACACTCGTAACTCCTTTTTCTCGTGTCTTGGAATTGTTTTCTAAAAATTTTGACTTTTCTAAAGGAATTTGAACTAATGAAAACATAACTCAAATTTCGAAAAATAATCAAGGTAATGAAATCAACTCGTGATTTCGAGAAAATACTGGCAGTAATGTTAAGAAGATCGCGATTTCGAGTTCGGGTTTCGAGTTTCGAGTTTTCAACACCTACCTGTCACTCCATTTTCCATGCCACTCCTCGCTCTGATGGCCATGTGGATTACGAATTCTGACCAGAGGGATCATTTCGCCGTCATGTCGCATTACCTGCAGGAATCACAAATGGACCTGCATTCTAAGTGACCAGTTAAGGAATTACCAGGAAATGTTTCGAAACCAGTCTCAGTGTCAGGCACCTTATCACCAGCACACAAAGTCAGCGATCTAACCCCTTCAGCCAGCACAGCTTCCACAAGAATTGGAAGACGACTGGTAGTGAATCCATTCAGCCAGCGCAGCTTCCACAAGAATTGGAAGGCGACTGGAAGTGAATCCATTCAGCAACCGCGGCTTCCACAAGAATTGGAAGACGACTGGTAGTGAATCCATTCAGCCCCCGCGGCTTCCACAAGAATTGGAAGACGACTGGTAGTGAATCCATTCAGCAACCGCGGCTTCCACAAGAATTGGAAGACGACTGGTAGTGAATCCATTCAGCCACCGCAGCTTCCACAAGAATTGGAAGACGACTGGTAGTGAATCCATTCAGCAACCGCGGCTTCCACAAGAATTGGAAGGCGACTGGTAGTGAATCCATTCAGCCACCGCGGCTTCCACAAGAACTGGAAGACGACTGGTAGTGAATCCCTCTGACTGGCACTGTTCCCACGGCCGTAGGTAATGAATAGTTAAAGTCATTGTAGTTGTTAGATTGTTGACTTTGTGTACTGACGATGAGTTGCCTGACGCTGAGGGTGTGGTTTCAACTCCCCGATGGGACTCAACCCCAAAATATGAACTGTACTGAGAAAGTGTCATCCCAAATATACGCTTGGCTGAAGCATCTGGTTATTACTGTGAAGGAACCCTACCATATTCCCTTGAAATTATAATTAACATACACGTTTGAATATTTGCTACTTCCACTAAGATCTGCACCAAAGACGACTGCGATCACCTATTTGACTATCCCTGGCCAAACCCATTTTACTTGAAAAATGCCTTGTTGTAGACACGATTTCCTACTCACCACTTCAGCGCCGGTCAGGGAGTAAGCATGCGCTCTAACCAGTCCCATGTTATCTTCGTCTGCCTGTAAACACAAATCTGTATTCACGACAATCAGAACATAAATGATCCTTCCGCACCACCTAGTGGCTACAAGAGTTGTACAATCTCCAGGGAGTTGAGATTAATAATATGATGTGCCGTTGAGATTGACATTCAATGATCCAGGGGAAAGATGCCAGCGCCTTGAGCATGTACTAGTTACCTGAATATGTGCGCTATATAAATATCCTTTATTAATAATAATAATGATAACAGGTGTTAACGTTGACGAAAAAGGTGGAAACGTTCTTTGAGTATTTTGACAGTGCTTGTGTTTCTCATGAAACTTCCTCCAGGTATCATATTTGAAAGGTATCATCACCAAATACTTTGAAAAATGGAATACATGTTTCTTAACATAAGTGACCGCCTCCGTGGTGTAGTGGTTAGTACTTGTTGGTTCCTGCCTGGCGCCCGGCATTAATGGGTACAACAAGGACTGATCGGCTCGGAGTTAGTATAATGTGTCTGAGTGGGGTATTCATGATTCACTGCGGCATGGTTTCTCAGTGGGCTAGCACTATAAAACCAGCTTCTGTCTGGGCTAGTACAAGCAGCCGCACATGCACATACACACGCATGCACGTTGTCATATGAGCGAAATATTCTCAAGCACGACGTTAAACCCAATTTCACCTCACCTCTTAACATAAGTGAGTGAGTATAGTTTTAGCAATGTTCCAGCAATATCATAGTGGGGACACCTGAAACGGGCTTCACACAGTGTACTCATGTGGGAAATCGAACCGAGATCTTTGTCTTGACAATCCAACGCTCTAACCACTGGGCTACCCCGACGCCATCCTTAGCATTAACGTTTATGGTGTGAGAAGAAATGACAGTGATGAGATACTCACAAGATTACAGCAAGTCACCAGGCCACCACTGCCAAACGCATTCGCTATTCGCCGGAAAAGGTCGTAAGGGTGGTCGTTGTAGGTAGCAAAGTCTATCGTCTCTGCCACCCCTCCGGTCAGGGACAGGTAGGCGTCGCTTGGCCAACCCCCTTCAACAACGCTGTAGGATCCGTGGAGCCTAAAGCCGAGGTGCCAATGATAGGTAGTTCAAGGAGGACAAACAGATAGGCAGAGCTAATTTTTAATGCAGGTTTTAGCCACGCTTTCACGTTCGCATTTACAGGCACTCGTGGCTACAAGGAATGAAACAAGCTTTACTATTCGACAATAGCACGCAAGCGTCCTCGTACTTTAACTATAATAGCTCAGGGCAAAAGTGTACTTTATAACACAAAACATGGTGGTAGAGCGAAGTGTATTTCTTTTCTGAGATGCCAAATAATTTAATACACACAGGAATTAATCGAGGCAGAAAACAAACAGAAAAGCGACGGTGTCGGTGACCCTAAATTAACAAGTCTCGTTCGGGGCTAACTGACGGACTCTTTCAGTGACGTTTCCGTCGAAAAAGCAGGAAACGGGATTCTACGGAATAGTTTACAGACGAGGTACTTTTACCAAGGGTACGTTTGATTACGAGGGGCGGACGAGATTGGCGTAGTGACGTCACAACAGTGTGATGTAATGAAAAACTTTATCGCCTGTTAAAGTACTGTCGGCGGCTTTGATCTTTTAGCGAAGCATCTTATCAAAATGAATTACATTAATATAAAGGTGTCGACACACCTTGCAAGGGCCTTTTCCAGCAGGGAGACCACACACCGCCAGAGAGAGAAGAGCGGCAGCCCCAAACAGGAACACTGATTTCCTCCCTGACCGGCAATAAATCATCAGTGTAGATGTCCACCCAATCCCCAAACCGCCACATCCTGCAGTGGAAGACACCATCCGTTCTGGGAGTATAGGACATTTCGTTGATCACCTTAAAAAGAAAGTCATCCCCGAGTTTCAGTGACAGATTCAACGATTTTTTCAATGCTATTTTACCTGTTATGCAAATGGAATCTGTGGGTAACCTCGTAATTTGTGGTAATGCATACTTTCATCCAGCTATATCACGACATCAATAAGGCCTGAGTCCACGATAGGAATTGAAGCCTGGACGACGAGTGAATCACAGTTCTACCTCATTATATATCACACTTATAAACAGAAGTAGTTCAGACTATTGACAATGAGGTCAGAGTCATGTTACTGTCATGTCTCTGGCTTGCTGCATGACAATCAATGTATCTGGTCATGCGGGATGTTAAAGGAGTCGGTGGGTAGCCAAGTTGGCTATTCGTTAGCTCGTCACGCCGCCGAAGGCCCGGGTTCAATTCCCAACACACGGGTACAATGTTTGAAGCCTATTTCTGCTCCTCCGCCGTGATATTGCTGGAATATTGCTACAAGCGGATTAAAACCAAAACTCACTCTAATTGTTAAAGTCTATAAAAACCATATGTCGAAGAACAGATTCTCTTATGTTTGCAACCATCGCTAAAACCAACACGTTCCAAAACTGCGTTGGTTGATATCACCTCTCTCAGTTTGTTCATGGAAAAGAACTGGGTTACTATAGATTTTCTGAAATCAAACAAAAATCAGTGGTTACGAACTTAGTTAATATGCTTATGATATAAAATCTGTCTAATCTGGCATCTGAATAATGTAAATCTTAGAGTATGTTGATGTGTTTAATTCATGGATATGAGTGATTAGTCTCATGAAATATACACCCGTGAAGATCCGGGTTAGATTTGGTCTTCAGCATCCCAGGCTTGTAAAAGGCGACTAACGGGATCAGGTGTTTAGACTCGCTGATATGTTTGACACACGTCATCGTATCCCAGTTACGTAATCGACGTTCATGCTGTTGATCATTGGACTCTCTGGTCCAGACTCGATTATGTACAGACCACTCTGATATAGCTGGAATATACAGCATTAAATATACCAGCATACGTAATGTGTGTGTGTGTGTCCGTGGGACACCACCAGAAATGGTCTTCACATTGCACCTATGTGGAGAATCGAACCAGGGACTTCGGCGTGACGGCCCATGAAGGGAGCAAAAGTGCTGTCAGTCCCCATGATCCCTAGTATGGTGATCTGCCTTAAGTTGTTGGCAATCTATAGCCGGTTTTTATGTTGTATTGTCTTTTATAGGTAAAATAAATTAGATTTACTTCGTCTTAAATTCATTCCTGTGATCTAGTTGTTTTACTGTCTTTCGTCGACAGGTGTTTTATAATGTAATTGTGTTTATTGCTAATTTATAACTTTTTAAGTCACAATATGGCTGAAATATTGTCGATGTGACTATAAATTTTAACTCACTCACTCACTCTTCGGCGTGACGAGCGAACGCTTTAACCACTATTTGTATCTTCAGACAGCGTTTCAAAAATGAATATTTTATTGCAACACCGTTCAATTTGAGTAATAGAACGTTTGTAACACATTATAAATACTTACGTGTGGCCTCTTCCATTCTAGCAAACACATTTTTTTGTTCAGTTTAATTTTCATTGGTCGAGGAAAGTCTGGGTCTGTCCACATTTTGCCTTTGGGAACTACTGGACGTTGTGGCTTGTGTGGATCTGATCTCGGTGGCAGGAATATTTTGGTGTAATACTTCAGGCGTGAACCAAGAGAATCCTGGATGTACTGCTTGTCAGACGGATTGTAGGGATCTAAGTCATCCACAACATCGGTGTCCGTATCTTCGAAGTCATTGTCCCTTTATCATCATTTTCATCATCGTGTTTGTTGTCAAACTCTTTTTCGTGATACTTATCAGACGCTTTAGGACAAAAGCATTCCATACTGTAAATAAACAAAATCCTGTAACGAAATTAGCTTGGTTTAAAATAATGGATACATGTTGATTATTTGAAGCGTTATATTAGCCCTCCTCTCGTAATTACAATGAAAAGAAATATGTTCGGATTAAGTTAAGAAAACTATTTGGATAACATCAACTGCAGGGCAAAATCAAGTTTGATTGCGGCTAATCTTAAAAAAATTAAGAAACAAGAAATAGTTCTTCGATCATAATATATTAATACTGTGTTATTATATTATATGTTTATATATATACACGAGTTTGCAATGGTTCGGAGACCTTTTCCAGCCTAATAACATTGTCTTAACGTTTGAAGGTCTTGTCTTACGTGCATACCTTCTTGTCCCCTGCAGGTCTTTCTTGAGCAACAATAAGCCCTTCAGATGCAAAACATCGACAACATTTGTGTCTTAAAATGAAACTGTATCTGCAAAGGAGGAAGCTGCTAATGTCAATAGGCAAAACCTTTAGGTCATGAAACACCGTACATTTAAATTAACTGCTAAGTTTATTTGTTTTGATAACTACTTTTCGACTTTACATATGTTGCTTTTGGGAATACACTTTCTCAGTTAAATCCCGATTCTAGTACCTGGATGGAACTCAGCCATCAAGATACAAGAATCGGGAGGGTCTCAACCCAAAAGGTACTAGCATCGGGTGGTCTCAACTCAACAAGGTGCTTGAAGCAAGGTACCAGAATCGGGTGGTCTCAACTGAACAAGGTGCTTGAATCGGGTGGGTCTCAACCCAACAAGGTATTAGCATCGGCTGGTCTCAACTGAACAAGGTGCTTGAATCGGGTGGTCTCAACTCAACAAGGTGCTTAAAGCAAGGTACCAGAATCGGGTGGTCTTCACTGAACAAGATGCTTGAATCGGGTGGGTGTCAACACAAGCAAGGTACTAGCATCGGGTGGTCTCAACTCAAAAGGTACTAGCAACGGGTGGGCTCTACCCATCAAAGTAGGAAGGCGTTTCCTATTCTCGCGGTACTTACGGAAACCGGCTGAAAAAATAACAAAACACTTTTTTATCGTATGAATGTTTGGCGTTAATAAATGAAGGGCCTTCTCCTCTATCCCTCTACATCTATCAGCTATGCCAGATCCATCAGGTGAATTACCACTCGTGAGCCCGGCGATAAACAATGCCATCCGCAATTGACGAAACGAGGCTCTCTCCCATTCTCGCGGTATTACCAGGAATTAACGTTATTGAGTGTATGTAAGAGTCATCCTGCCGGAAAGGGCGAGAAAAATTAATGATATGGCCAAGTTGGTATAAACTCCCCAATATTCGTGACACTGCAAGATTTTGATCATTCACCGACTTGGTCCACTTCCTAGTTACCAGTCGGTGATGTAAACAATCGTTAAGTGTCGCGCATCGGCGATTTCGGCAGAAAGCGTATTTACCGCGAGAATAGGAAACCCGCGAGAATAGGAGACGGACCTAAAGTACATTTGACCGTTTTGTAAATGACCTTGTGTATTGATACTATTGAAATGTGTGTAACACATTGGTCACAATTCGCAGTGATACAAACCTGCCGTACACAGTGAAGTCCTTTGTGTAGCACCAACAAAAAGCCCGCAGCTCTATACCCTTAGTCATACAACGGGGACCGTCATTCACATCTCCCAAAGAGAAATTGCCCGATACTTTATTCACTGGTGTAAGTGGTTTCAGATCGACAATTGGTTATAGAAAACCCTTGGGGGGTGTTGATTTCCAGCGCTGGCTAGACGAAGTCATGAGATCCAACACCAATCAACAACAACGCCGTTTTTGTATGGTACTGATGTTACCAGCGTTGAGGTCCCCTTCGTACGCGCGGGAACGACGATGTTGTAATGATGATGCCGGTTTAGAGGTCGTTGCACTAACACTGCCACATGTCAAAAGTACTAACAGGGGTTTAATTGTAGCGTGTAGAACGTTTTGTTTAAGGAACACAACTTAAACCTACTATACCTTTCCATCATGTTCTGCAACAAGACTGTCACTGTTGATATATGGACAAACTGCATGGCGTTCGTCAATGACTCATCGTGAGTTTATATTCATAAAAAGACAAAAGCACACAAGGCCGAGGTTCGTTTGTTTGATGAATATGCTATTACATTCATCTTCAAATATTATTATTGTTGTTGTTTTGAAGATGTCCGTGAAAGACAATGTGCAGTAACCAATGGTCCTTAAACATAATTGAGACAAGTGTCTTGGTAACAGTAGGCAGTCCTAGAAAAGATCGTAGAATTTAATCCTCAATCTTTATAGATTTGTCTGCTAGGCACTTCCCTGTATGACCACCCTTGCAGCAGCACGTGTCTGTTCTTACACATTTGGGCGGCAGGGGTAGCCTAGTGGTTAAAGCGTTGGTTCTTCACGCCGAAGGCCCGGGTTCGATTCCCAACATGGGTACAATGTGAAGTCCATTTCTGGTGTCACCGCCGTGATATTGCTTGAATATTGCTAAGCGGCGTAAAACCAAACTCACTCGTACATATTTTAGTTCTCCACAGATATCTCCCAACTTACTGGCAATGCAAACATATTAAGAATGCAGTCACGGTTTATTTAGGGTCGAATACGCCTCATGCTTAATAGCTTGTGGAATGGTAACACAGCATACTAGATAATAGCGAAAATACGCCTGTACGCCAGTGCGTAGATGTAGCGAATCAGCGTGCTCCTTTAACGTATTGCATACGTTAATATGAATTGCCGTATGGCAACAGACAGAAATACCGTTACAATCATTCTGTGGCGCCAACGACGTTACATTGTCCAACTGCAATATTTGTAGTGGTTTGTGTTTTCTTACTAATTATTGTTGTTGTATTTGGCATTACTGAAATAGCAGCCATATCACGATTATAAGTCACGACGTAAATGCATGAGTCACGTGTGTAACACTTGCTGAAAAAGCTGGAACAGAGGTGACAGTCCAGTGATCAACAGCATCAGGATCGAGTTCTATACAACTGAGATGCGATGACACGTGTCAACAAAGTCAGCGAACCTGACCACCCGACTCTGTTAGTCGACACTCACGACAAGCATAAGTTAATGAAGTTCAATTTTAATCCGGATCTTCACGTGTCGCAACAAACAACAGAGAGAGAGAGAGAGAGAGAGAGAGAGAGAGAGAGAGAGAGAGAGAGAGAGAGACAGACAGAGAGAGATGAGAGAGAGAGAGAGAGAGAGAGAGAGAGAGAGAGAGAGAGAGAGTGTATACGTGGTTACGCCTCCCAAAGAATATGTCATGCGAAATAGTCATGTAATAATTTCTTATA